AAAAAATGGCATACTAAAAGCACTGAACACAGTGCCTATATGTAGGGGTTATCAGTAAATGAGAAATTCCTTACCCTAATCTTCTAGCCTAGAATTGAATGCTGGCTAGGTATAATGAAATCTGCGATCCAGACCTTGTTCCTTCCCTTCTACCTCAACTATAAACTATGGCCTTTTCCCCACTGACACAGCTCTCCGTCCTTGCTTCCCAGCAGTTATAAATCTGACTGAGTGGAGGCCAGGGCAGTGGCTCACACCTGTACTCCCAGTACTTTGGAAGGCTGAGATGGGAGGATCACTTGAGCTCGGGAGTTCACCACCAGCCTGGGCAGCATAGTGAGACCTCGTGTCTACAAAAAATTTTACAAATAGCCAGGTGTGGTGGCACATGCCTATTGTTCCAGCTACTCAGGAGGCTGAGGTGGGACGATCACCTGAGTCCAGGAAGTCATGGCTGCTGTGAGCTGTGATCATGCTCACTATAATCCAGCCTGAGCAAGAGTGAGACCCTAACTCAAAAAAAAAAAAAAGAAAAAAGAAAATGGATGGATTTTGTCTGGAAGCCATGGACCCTTTTAGTCATGACCCAAGTGTATGTCCCAAGAAACTAAAAAGTCCTGTGCCTGACAGAGAGATCTTATCATCTCCCTCTCCCCTGCCCTGTCTTATCCACTTTCCAGCTAGCCCTGCTGTCTACTTAGCTTGAGTTTCTCCGTCATTCAGGGGCTACCATTGTTGCAGCTTGCTTAGCATCTGCCATCAACATTAGTGCTTCTCCAGCTGAAGAGAGACTGGCCTCAAAAATGAGGTCAGCGCATGTGGAGGTTGAGCACATTTTGAAAACAACTGGCCGATAGCCTTCAAAAATGTCAGGACCATAAGAGACAAAGACTGAGGAACTGTCACAGATTTTCCCTGTCTCTAGAAGGAGACTAGAGAAATAGGAAATAAAAATATAGAATAGAAATAGAATAGAAATATAGAAATAAAAATAAAATATAAGATCCTGGATGGAATCTTGGCACAGAAAACAATATATTAGTGGGAAAACTAGTAAAATGTGAGTAAGTTCTATAGATAAGTTGATAATATTGTATCGATGCCCATTTCCTGGTTTCAATAATTGAACTATAGTTGTATATAATGTTAATATTACGGGGTTTACAGGAACTCTCTACAGTATTTTTGCAACTTTTATTTAAAATAAATAGAGTTAAAACACTTTTAAATGTGATTATTTGTAACTTTATTATGAAAGAACTTCTGCCTCAATGGACTTGTTAAGTGATATATTATTGTCAAATAGTACCACTTACATTAAGCCAGAAGGCCATGACATAGGTTAATGAAAATTCAATTCCAGGGTATAGAAAAGCCACCTTAATCACCACTATTAGTTTGTAAATCCAGTAAGATAGTATGATGCTACCTACATATACTCAGTAATACTGAGGACTTGATGACAGTAAATCATATCTGTACAACCGGTAAAGTTATTAAATAAATATATCTATTGAATTAACATTTCTGAATAGCATGTTTTAACAATAGCTCCACTGTGATCAACTTTTATAGAAAGAAAGAGACGGAAAAGATAATGAAGAGATGTAAAGAAACATAATATGTACCCACCTCCCTCCCCTAGACCTCCCTATGCTTTAGGAAATGGCATTGGTAACAAACCCTAAACAAAACTCCTTGCAATTGAAGCAATAGATAGTCCGTTCTGCTATCGCATGAGTTTCTATAACACAAATTAACATAGACATAACAGAACATGAACTAATATAGGCAACTGGTAAATGGGGAGAAGGTTTCCAAGTAATGTAGAAGTTACACTGGTTTATATGTGATGTTTTTTCCCCAGATCATTGCTTTGCCTCATCAGTAACAGTACCTGAAGACCAAGTACACTAATGGCAGCAAAGTAGGAAGGAATCACTTTCATACATTCAACCCTTCTCTTAGAAGTGCTTATTGCAAAGTTAATTCTGGTCTTTGTTTTAAAAAATTAGATAAATGAAACAAATGAACACAAAACAATGAGCAGAGCATATAACTGGTATCATTATATTTCGTACAAAGTTTGCAAGCTTTTCCCTACTTAAACATGATAATGTCTCTGTCCTTGTTTCCATAGATAGCCTCAACCCTTCCTTATGTCACCTATCATCAAGCTACCTTCACCTTTATGTTTTAAGTAAAATGCTACTTATACTGCAGTCTATTTATTAGGAATTTCATCTTGTAAACTGTGTTAGTATTTTTATTGGGATTGTTATTGTTTTTTCTAGTGTTCTGATTACAAAGTTGCATAAGCCTTACTAATTTAAGTGTGAATTTGCACACTGCAACTTTTCCAGAAATGCATAATAATATTATAGTAGAAATGCTGTATTTCCACAAATTCTGAATACATAAAACACTGTTCCAGGATTTTTAAACATAAAAAGGTCAAACTGTCTTGTTTCTAAAGATTACTTATGTATCAATGAAGTTTGTTATTAATATCAATTTCCAATCAAAATCACAAAATATACTTTATATTTCACTTTAAATTCAACATTCTGACACGCATTTCTGTATTAGACACATACTTCTTAGAGAGGATGTTCCAGTGTAGATATAACATGAACTTAGAGTTACTGTTCCAATTATCATCTGTGATAAAACCAGACTGATACATTTTGTAAGAAAAGCAAATATTCAACACTGTTTGACATGAATTAAATGCACTATAAACTTTAATCAAACCAATATCAATCTTTTAAAATGAAGTAGTCTATAAATTATATGAAAATATAAGGATATATGTAGAGAAAGCATTTTTATTATAAAACTAAAAAGATTCTTTGAAGAGTGACTTTTATAGTATTATATCATGCTAAAGAAGAATTCGGTGTCAGATTTTTTATTTCCATCTCAAAGAAAGCAACAATATTGCTTGATGATTATTTGTTGTTAAATAACATAATATCAAACAATAAGCATTCTTTTATGTAAATAGCTCCTGTTAGCAACAAGCATTATGAAAGTGTGTGTTGTCTATACATGACAAGGATATAGCACATAACTGACTCATTAAAAATACAGTTCAGCCGGGTTCAGTGGCTCAGCCTGTAATCCCGTGCTTTGGGAAGCCGAGGTGAGTGAATTGCCTGAGCCCGCGGGTTCGAGACCCGCCTGGGCACCTGGCGAGACTTCATCTCTACAATAAAAATCGAAAAAAAAAAATTTAGCCGGGCGTGGCAGCGCATGCCTGAAATTCTGGCTACTCGGAAGGCTGAGGCGGAAGGATCGCTGGAGCCCAGCAGGTCGAGGCTGCGGTGGCAGGGAGCGGCCGCTGCACTCCAGTCTGGGCGACTGAGTGAGACTCCAACTCAAAAAAAAAAAAAAAAATACAGCTCAACTGAAGTAGCAATAATTTATTATATCAGCCTCAATTTGAAATTAATTTATATATAAATATCAATCACTTAAAAATTTATATTAAAGAACAGTGTTCTCTCCTTAACACAATCCATGACATGCCAGTGGACTTTTATGGGCCCATATGACCCTGAATTTCAAGGAGGCTTTTTTAATTTTTTAAACTATCTATTGAAATTCACTTGCTTAGAGATAGCATGTTTCTCATGGAAAAATAAAATAAAACACTGCACAATTGTCTGTGTATCGTGTGACCTCTTTCACTTGGGTGGGTATCCTCTCCATCACCGACTAAGTGAGGATGTAACCTTGTCAAACCAAAGGCAAAAGAATAATGAGCATACAACAGGCTAATCCAGCATGGAAAAGGTTGTTAAGGAGATTGCAAAAATAGTACTCTGAATGACAAAATAAAAGTACACTCCAAAGAGTAGGTTAATATTAAAGAAAGCCCTCAAACCCTGAGAAGCATTTAATCCCTATCTTTGGATGTCTGCCATACAAAATCTCACTTGAATTTATTTCATTAATTACTAACCAGACTTGGCTAACATGTTTTCAAATGAATCCTGGTAGAATAGTCTTGAAGAGACACATTTATAGATATCTATTTCCACAAAGCACTAGCCAAAGTATGAACAAATAGATAATGTTTTCCTTTTACCAAACAATTATAAATTATCATCCAACAAGAAAAAATAATTCCAGAAATATAAATTGGAAAAGTCTTCACCCAACAGAAGGTTTTACTATTGCTAAAACAAATGGTGGTAGTAACACTACTACATTTGGCTACTTCAGTGCATAACTGGCATAACAGGAAATTATACTAAAATATTTTTATAAGTAGCTTAAACCAGAAGACATTAAGCAAGTTCAGCTGCAGTCTTCCCAGGGTGAATTTACTTTTAAAACAAACAAACAAAAAATCTCAAATCTAAACCATTCAAGCAAGTACTAGGACTATGTCTTCTATCATTGTGTCAGTTACGCACACTTTGACATTCCTTTTCTACATTAAAACTGGAATCAAATATTTTTCCTGACCAGTCATACTATTTTAACAGAGAAACAGTGCCACCTTTTGGTCTTAAGCAGAAGCCTCTTGCACCAGTCTCAATTTTTCTTTTTCAGTTAAACTCATGTATATAAATGTCACTGAATTTCATGACATAATTATCAACTTGTAGAAATACGTTTTAGCTACACAAATTAACAAAACACTGGGATAACAAAAACACTGCTTACCGAAATGTAAAAGTCCAAAATACTCCAAAGTAAGGCCAAGCACATGTATTCTGCATCACCAGTATAACAATTTCTTACCAACATTTTGCTAAAAACATTTTACCAAATCCAAATACATCAGTCAACTGATACACATGTAAACATAAAAGAAAAAATTGTCGTTTATAGCATTGTTACATCTCAAAATTGATTTTTTAAAACACATATTTAAAATGTACTCATTAATTCAATAATTGGCAATGTGGTATTAACAATGGATTAACAGTTAAATCAACATAAGTATAAATAACTTTATATACAAATATAGTATGCTACTGGATTACTTACACCAATGACACAATGTCACCACGCTGTACTTCAAAATTCCTCACTTTCCAATGATTCAGAAGTACCACATCAGATGACTGGCTCCCACCAGGATTCAAAGAAGGCTACAAAATAAGGAGAAAGAGACACATCTATCATTTGTATTTTTCAATCTTCATGGTTCCTTGCACTTCATAGTTCAACTGGATTGCAATAAAACATTTCTAATACAGTACCTTTCGATAAATTGCTCTTCTAAAGTAACTGCAAATGATGCATTTTCAAAAAGGCTCATTGGGATTCTTCACAGATAAACAACAACAACAAAAAAAACTACCAATACTTATTCAAAAGGAACATGTACTAGATATTCAAATCTTTGCTAAAGAGGTATAAAAAGCTTTAAGAAGGAGTTTTAAACATTTAAATATAAACATAAAGAAATGAGTCAAACTTCCCAATAGAATATTCAGATACAATCTAATTCCCCAATAGTACACATTATTAATCCATCTGGGGAAAAGAGAAAATCTCAAATCAACCTCCCAAAAAAATGCCCTTATAAAGAACTGAATAGAGCAAAGGAAACAGGTGATGGACTGATCTTTAAAAATGTAAGACCTTGAACAATTATAATACTATAAATAGAAAGAGATTGGCAGTAGTGGGAAACTGTCAGGGGAGGGTGGGATTGGCAGTTGAGGGACACTGCTAGGGGAGGGAGGGGCACACCTCATCAACAAGGGTACCTGCATAATCAGCGTTTGTATACCCACCCTGAATTGTACCCCAAATCTTTATAATAATAAAAAAGTAGGAATTTCCCATCTTGACCCCTTTTTTCTCAAGACAGCATGTACCAAGGGTCCTAGTCCCAGTTTGAGCAGAATAAGTGGCCTTCATTCTAGGATTTAGACAAGTCTAGCTGTGCCTGAGGATTATAATGGAGCAAGAATTGAAAAACATTTTGTGTAAGAATTTATCTAAAAGTCAGGAATCATATAGGCACAAAATTTTGATACGGTAATCATGAAGTTAACATAACTGTCGCTTAGACAGGGGTACGGACAAAACCAATGGATAACAAGTCTGATGCCTAAGGTAAGAATGGAAGGGCAAAAGAATAAGAAAAGCAGCTGGGCCCGGTGGCTCAGCCTGTAATCCCGCGCCTTTGGGAGGCTGAGGTGAGTGGATTGCCTGAATCCGCGGGTTCGAGACCCGCCTGGGCAGCGAGACCTCATCTCTACAATAAATCAAAATATCAGCCGGGCGTGGTAGCGCGCACCTGTAATTCCGGCTACTCGGAAGGCTGAGGCGGAAGGACCGCCGGAGCCCAGCAGGTCGAGGCTGCGGTGGCTGGGAGCAGCCACTGCACTCCAGTCTGGGTGACAGAGTGAGACTCCAACTCAAAAAAAAAAAAAAAAAAAAGAATAAGAAAAGCTGAGAGAGCTTTTTCACTATTGACTCTCTGAGAATGCCACCATGGGAAGCAGCAATTGCTGTTGTGAAGGGAAAGGTGCCAAAACACTGAGGCTCTCTGCCTTCACCGAGAGGCTGATGACAGCAGCAAGTACAGACATAACAACAGCAACCAGGGCAGAAGTGAGAAAAATAGTGAAAGCCAGCCACTGCCAGACCCTGGGACAGTAGTAACACACTACTTTTTTGAAGATTACTAAAATTATTTGTATATTGTCCACAAAGCAAACATGGGCAATAATGTCAAAATTGTGTGTGAAGGCTATTATCAAGACATTATTTTTGACTACTAAGGTTTTGGTAACCAAAGAACATTGATTATCCTTGGACACTTCAAACACTCCCAGAGCTTGTATCAACTCCTGTATGTGATAATGTCTAAATCTCCTAGTTTTAAATTCCCTGCTAGTCATTTCACCTGATTATTAGAATAAATTTCAACAGGAATAAAATGGAATTTGTCATCATTTCCTACTAAATTAAAAGTTTTCTTCCTTATGTTATTACATCCTATTTACCATTTCCCTAGTAAACCAGCTTAAAATCTTAGTTATCATCTTACTTCATATCCAACCAGTCACCAAGATAAACCATAATATCTTTCACTCATGGCACATCTTTCCTCTCCTTTATCATCATATTTCAAGGACCATTCATCATATAACTCATACTAATCAGTCTCTCACCTTCAGTTCAAAAAGAAACAACTTCTAGCTATATGATCTTGAACAAGTTACTTAACTTTATTGTCTTTCTTTACTAGTAAAATGGTGATAATTAGTAACTATTACCTAATGAATAATTAAATAATAATAATAATAGCAAATACCTACTGAGAGCTGACCATGCGCACAGTTCTAATAGTAACACCCAGACATACTAAGTGCTTACCACATACAAGACACTGTTCAAGGCTTTAAAAAGACAGTTGACCCTTGAACAACACAGGTTTGAACTGCACAGATCCACTTAAACATAGATCTTTATCAATAAAAGTGTACTGCTTCTCCTCTACCTCTTCCACACTAAGACGGCAAAACCAAACACTCCTCTTCCTCCTCCTCCTCAGCCCACTCAATGCAAACCAAGGAGGAAGAAGACCTTTATGATGCTCTATTCCACTTAATGAATAAGTGGAAATTCTTAATAACATTTTTTTTCTCTAGTTTACTTTATTGAAAGGATATAGTATATAATGCATATAGCATACAAAACATATGCTAGTCAACTATGTTATTGGTAAGACTTCTGGTCAACAGTAGACTATCAGAAGTTGTTTTTGGAGAGTCAAAAGTTTTACATGGATCATTGACTGCATAGAGGTTGGCATGCCTAACTCCTGCATTGTTCAAGAGTTAGCTGTACTTATTTGGTGAGATCATTCATTTAAAGTCCTTATGATATGATCATTCTTGGCTCACAGTTAACCTCTCTGTAACTTCTATTATCAACTTCTAATATCACTACATCATAATTTTAACTAGGAGCAGTTCTGTACACTTTCCCCAACTTCTTAGGCTTTATTCCTAGTTAGGAGCAGAACTGATGCAGTAGGATTAAGTCCAGGGATTTTACTAAGCCATGTTGCTAGGGAATGGAACTGCTGTCTTCACAACAGTAGGGTTAGAGCTTCTACAAGGGTTAATTTTCTGTCATTTATATTGTTCAATCATATTCTTTATCTCCCTCTTTCTCTCCCTATTTGAGTTTAGGATTTACAAGTCCTCTTCTCTTTTTCTTTGCAATAGTCCTTCTATGTAAAGGATGCAGTCAAGTTAACCTGTGGGGAAACCATCTGCACTCCAGACCATAAAGAGAAAATCTCCTTCCTATTGCACTTTCAGTGTTCACTTTTCCTTGCCTCTAGAATAGTGAAGAACAATGGTGATTTAATTATTTCTAACTTATCTTCTTTAGCTTCTTTTATTGGTGTTTTTTAAAAGTTTGTGATCACAACCCATAATAAGAAATACATTGCACCAACATTGAAATTCAAAAAAATCATAAAACAGTAATTAACTTTACTACACACACATTGATATTTTCTATTTTCTCCTAATCTATGTTATTAATATTGTACCTATTACCAACCATATTGATTTTACATCCACTATATTGACTTTGTAACCCACTTATGGGTTACAATCCAGTGTTAAAATCATGACTTTAGATGAGTCTTCTTCAACCACTATCCTATGAAAGTTGCTTTTTCCTAGAATTCTACCTGTAGTTTGTTCATCTCTTGTTTTTAAATTATTTCTCTAGAAAACCACACAATATTCCCAATTTCAAATACCACCCATATCCTCATGATTCCTAAATGAACAGTCCCAAGCCACTTCCTCCTCCTCTATATTTAAGCCATAGCATTTCATACAACTCTTAGCATACTGAAATGTGACTTTTGTTTACTTATCTTTGCACCTAAGCAAAAAGCTTTTTTTTTATACATTACTGCAGCACTCTAGTTAAATTTATACTCAAATCCAACTGCTCTTCCCAGCTTCAAGCATGTATTTCCAAATGATTGCTGGGAATCTCATCTGATCAAGTCATTTCCCTGCTTGAAATCCTTACTTAGCTCTCCTTACCTTTACTTTACTCTAAAGACTGTCTTGAAGATAAAAATCAACCATTCTCCCCATTGAAGCTGGAATGAATTTTTAAAAAGTGATACATATATACAATGGCATATTATGCAGCCATAAAGAAGGACAAACATATGGACTTCACAGCATCTTGGATGGATTTAGAGTCAATCATACTCAGTAATCTATCACAGAAACAAAGAACAGAGTACCATATGTTCTCACTCATAAGCGGACTTTGAACAATTATCATAATACTATAAGAAAGGGATTGGCAGTAGTAGGAAACTGCCAGGGGAGTGGGGGTGGGACTGGCAGCTGAGGGAACTGCCAGGGAAGGGAGGGGCACACCTCATCAAGGGTACCTGCATAATGAACATTTGTATACCTAACCCTGAATTGTACCCCACATCTTTAAAATAAAAATAAATAAAAGATACACATGATCTTCAAGACCCTCTCAATACCCACTTACATAAGCTCAATCACTTAAGTAGTACCCTTTGGGTCATTTTCTCACACCTCCAAGGTGCCAAATAAACAAATATTTCTGCCTGAAGTGTTTCCCCCTTATTCCCAACTTCCCATCATCTGGCTAACTCATACTTCAAAACAAAACTTGAATTCCATGAGGGAACCTAACAAGAATTCTTTCCTAACGCTTCCCATATTCTTATTATTACTCCCACTCTTGATCTCAGTTAAGTGATAAAAAATCCCAAGTTTCTCATAACACTCTGTGATTATTTCTATCATAGCATATTTATGTGCATTACAATGATTCCTTTGTCTCTCTTTCTAAGAGTCTATAAGTGTTTAGAGGACAGATGATTTATTATGTCTGTGTTCTTGAGAACTGGGCACTTTGTAAGTAATTAATATATATTAATGGAAAGAATAAAAAATCAATTAGTGAAATACACACAGATTCCCCAAATTAACATGCCCAAAACAAATCCTATTCCATCCACAACAGCCCCCAAATATACTCCTATATTCCTCTCCTTAGTTAATAGAAGTAGTGACTCTTTCACTCAAGTGTAAGCATCTCAGTTGCA